GATTTTCATATTGTTTAATAATCATTCTTGGAATGGCACCGTTTAACTTTAATATGTGCATACTTCGAATTGCGAGTTTTCAATTATTTTGAGTTCACTATTGAGATCGAAACAACTCTAGTTTACGTTAGCCGTTTACACTCAAAGTTAATATGGAGCCCTTTTTCCTAACTGTTTTCTAAACGGTGGAAAACGGTTACAAATGAAAGAAAACAAATGCGCCATTTTGCCGTTTGTTCTGTAATGGGAGCCAATCATAAAAGGAAATTTCCCTTGTCATTAAACAATCGAATAATCTTTCGATGCAATTCAAATTAAACCCACCGAATATTATTAACGTAAATGTCGCTTATTAACAGAATTTTCCTCTTTGTCGCGATTTAATTAAATTTCCACTCCGCCTGAGAAATTAATTAAGCCGGCCTTCGCGTGATTTTTTCCCTGCACGGGGCTGATATTGTCCTGATAAACATCAATCGGTTTACCGCAATGCCGAGTAAAAAATTACGAAAATAATCTCAACGCTCGTCTTTGAAACATTTTAAAATCCAGAATACATTTAATAAAATAATTATGTTGAGATTCATTGTGTTCAATATATGTATTGGAATTTAGATAAATACATATCCAATAATAAATTGGCAAGTAGTATGTGGGAGTTATAGGTCTTGGCTGGAAGTTTGTATGAGTACGTTGTTATTGCGATTTCTTTTATACCTTCGTAATGGTCCAGCTGGAGGTCGTGATTTGGCAATGTCCCCTGTCAAAACGTTGAATTATTGAAAGGCAGAGGAAACGCACGTACCAAGCTTTTAGCACCTCCTTATTACTAACTCCATTCCAATTGATAGGAGGGTGCTCAATTTAAAGGTTTGTCCTTGCAAATTACCCCACTCACGTTTCCATATATATAAGTTTTATCAAGATTATATAGTTCAAATGTGTTGTTGGACGTTAATTGTGATTGATTGCTCGAGAGTGTTTTCAGATTAAGATTTATTACCACTTCACTAGTCTCAACATGATATGTCTTGTTGATGTATACAGGGTTAGGAAATGACAGTAGTTTGGTTGTTTCCGATGCAAAACTTGGTGTGAAACCAAAAATCAATCCTTAAATATTGAAACAATACGTTTATTACTCCCTTTTTTTAATTTTTTTTATATTTCTGGTGCTTTACCAGAGAACCAACCATATGAATTTTGGAATCGGCCATCCATATAGTAGATGCACGCTTCTTCAGAGATTTCAACACCCACCTCGCCAATTTCAAACATTCGCAAATTCTGAGGTAATTGTGGCATTTCCGGACCTACTGTTTTCCAATCCTCTCGGCTTTGAATAGTCAAACGCGTTTCGCCATTTCGCCATTTTCAGTATTCCGAATATAAGTGCCGATTCATTGAAAAAAAGACACTGTCAAAACAACATCGGACGAACCACGGAAAAATGCAAAGCACCGAAATGCGTAGACAGGCCAAAATAGCCAGCGGGATGTTCGGAAAGGAAAAAACTTCTAATTCGTTTTGCCGCAGGCCTCAAAAAGAAATCACAATTTCAAATGTTGAACTTATTTTCGGGGTTTGCACGCTGAGGACACGAATACACCATTCCGTCACTGAAATCGATGTTACGCAGATTTTACATTCCTCTTTGGTTCCAGTTTAATTTTCCAATTCTTAAATGACTTGTAGTATTACTAGTAGTAAGAGTAAAGCAAACACTAATCTTTTGGAAAGCACTCGAGATCATTGTAAATCAATTATGCTTTCATGAGGAGGATAGGGTTTAACATCATCTGTATGTCGCTGACTACAATAATATAGAAAAGCTTTTATTGTTTTATTTTAATTCAACATCGAATTTTTCTATTGGGAGGTGCAGTCTGGTGTGACGTAGGTTTTAGAAAAACATTTTCCTCATCATGCCAACGTTTCGATCTTTATTGAGATCATCTTCAGGCTTGGGATTTATAAACATTGTTTAAATTAAAAAAAGAATTTATACAATCCTAGAAAATTTTAGATTTAAAAAAAATTACAGAACAAACGCATGTAAACTTAGTCACAGTTATTATTCAAATCATTAATCAAATTCAATATCAATAACAAACATATATCATCATCACATTACACAAAACATATAACATATAAAACAATAATCACATTCGATACAACAAACATTTCTTCAATGTCTATTCTTCAACAATTTAGCTTTCCTTTCCCTAATTATCCCCGTCTATATAATCCTGAAAGGATAATCAGGCCGAACCATTACCCACGTTTTTCCCATTGTCGGCTCCTTTCGCCTCAAAGAAGCCGATTCCTTATATAAAAATGTCTTTCTGTCCCGACTTCCTTCCCCACTCCTTCAAAATCCAACGTATATAAACATAAAACATCAATATCTCACTGGCACGTCTCAAGGACACGCAAGAATGGCACAATTACACAGAAGACAAACACTTCGAACCCAGAAGATGATCTCAATAAAGATCGAAACGTTGGCACGATAAAGAAAATGCTTTTCTGAAACCTACATCACACCAGACCGCATCTCTCGATTTCTGAATAATTATTTCTAGCATTGTAAAAATTTATTTTTTTTAATCTAAAATTTTTTAGCATTGTATAAATTCATTCTTCTTTTTAATCTGAAATTTTCTAGCTTTGTATAATTTTTTTTTAAATCTAAAATTGTATAGTGTTGTATAAATTCTTTTTTCTTGTAATCTAAAATTTGCTAGCATTGTATAAATTCTTTTTTTTTGTAATCTAAAATTTTCTAGCATTTTATATATTAATTTTTTCATATCCTGCATGTATTTGTATAATTTAAACAACGTTTATAAATCCCAGGCTCTGAAGATGATCTCAATAAAGATCGAAACGTTGGCACGATAAAGAAAATGTTTTTCTAAAACTTTCGTCACACCATACCGCACTTCACGATCTGCAAATAACCATTGGCTAACAGTCACTAAACACCACACAGTGAATTTTTTATAAATAACAGGAACTAAACATCGTTTTTTAAGAAAGATTAATACTTACATTATGGTTATGTATTGATGAAATTGAACAAGGAAATAGGAGTTTCGAGATGGCGTTTGACAATGAGCAATGATATTATACAAATAAATATGATTTAAACTAAAATAAGTAAATAAATTTACAGCTAATAAATTCAAAAAAGTACATTGCATTTTTCTATTCTATTAGCAACAAATTCTTGGAACCTTTATCGAAAAGAATATTTACTAACTATACCAATAATTCTAAAGGTAGGCGATAAAGTATAGCTTTTGTCAAGTAAATAATCGGTTAATGACAACTGCGATTGATGAACAATTAAAAATTAGGCGGACGTCGGTCTGCCGATGGCACTTTGCTTAATCAGACCTGTACACGGCCGATGCTCAAAGCTCGTTGAATATACAACCCTCGGTCGATACACTCTCTCAACCGTTATGGATAACATGGCAGGATGCATTAAATAGCTTTATTTATTCGCAGCTTTTGCCGTCGCAACGTCTGGTACAGTTGCGGATTTAAAACAAGGTTTAACGCAGCGTTGCAATTAAATTGAGCACCGGGGAGAGAATGGAGGTTTTAAGCTCATTAAAGATAATCTGCACCGCGCAATATGTGTTACACACATGGTTTAAAGATTATCTAACACTTCTTGGAAATTTTCTGTATTTATCAAGGCATTTAGGCACATTATATTAGTAAAACAACATTAACAAAACAAATTATTCAGATAGTACATGTATTTGAAAAACGTATTTTCATAACGAATCGTTCGTAAATTTTATAAATTTACAATTACAGTAAATCGCAAAACTATTGTAAGTGTGTAATTATAAGTTTGGAGACCTCCACGAAGTAATTAATAAAGAAACGGAATAGTAGTAATAATAACCAAACTAAAAATAAACTACGAATTTTATCTATAAGAGAATTTTTTGCACAGTAACCAGGTAAGTCAGTTTTTAGTTTAAATTCATTCCATGTGCTGTTACCAGCCGCCAAAGTCTCAAAAGATAGGGTCTGCCATTGGCCCGGAGCAATCTTCAGAAGTTAGCCGGGCTAAATAATCGATTCGCCCATTTCTAGCTTTCCATTGTTTGCGGCCGTTGCTGGTCTTTTCGAAACAAAACCCGCTTTAAATGTTTGTCACAGCTCAGTTTGTGTAAATGCCAGGCAACCATTATTTTCATAAAACATCGATTGTTGGGTAGGATAGGAATGAGGAACAAAGCAGACGGGTATTTAAAATTTATTATACGTCCGTTTAACTCGTCTGTATCATAATAACAACGACAATGAATTATTAAAATTTGTGAAAAACTTATTTTTAGTATTAGACAATGTTACTCCCATAATTATCTATTAATAAATTACTCTAATTATACACTTTTTCTTAATTAGTTTCATGATAGAAAAAATGTCCCTCGAGTTGCCGAAGTTACAAAATCAGATGGTTGCGAGGCCATCTGCGCTTCAGTCTACTGTGAGGGTTGGAAGGACCAGTTGAGCTGGACAGGTTTGCGAATCAATGGGTTGTCATGAGAGGATGGTTTGAAGTTTGACAGTTTATTGTAGCCCACTCCGGCTAGATTTGGAACGTAGGTTATGTTGAGATCGGAGTAGAAAGTTTGATTGGTGACGAAGAATAGAGTGTCAACTATTGTGCTAACGGTTTTGTATTGTAGGGATTGGATTTGGTTCAGATTGGAACGCTTGGCAGTCCCGAGTACGTAGGTCCAAATTGGGGCAATTAGGGTAGTGTATAATAGTGTTTTGTCGTCAATTTGTTTTAGTTTTGTGTGTGGATTCCACCTAAGTCTTTTGTCCATAGTATACAAAGCCAAAGATATCTTATACTAATCGCTGGATTGGGGTGCCGTATAAATAGACAGGTGGGAAAGTATTACGATTAAGAGTGAAAACTATGTATTTAGAGTTTTGATTGTTTACCTTGAGTCTCTCAAGATATGAAGGTATTGGAGGTTGCGGATAGTAACAGGATCGATGTTTGGGGAGAGGATTGCAGTGGCATAGGCGGGTGTGAAGTTTAAGGTGTCGGACTGCAATGGAAAATCCGTAAAGATGGATTAAAATAAAGGAGCAAGTATGCTTCTCCGGAGGAAGCCGGCTAAAATGGAAAAAAAGAAGAGGAAGAGAGCCTTCGCTTACTTCAAAGTACCGGATTGTTGGGAAGGATTTGAGGGTAATGTATTATGTCTTAGATTTTAAAACTATACGTTAAGCACTGATTAAAGTGGGGGTCCGTGGTGACTGAGTGGAACGGATGTCAAACATCTCTGCTAATCACAGACTTGGGGGTCTTAAGATCGATTTCCACTGGAGCCGCAAGAATTACTTTTGGCTAATATGTCAAAACACAAAGCCATTTAAAAAACATTGAACAAAATGTGTGGTGATTAGAGACCGTTAATCGATAATTATTCAGAAATCGTGAGATGCGGTCTGGTGTGATGTAGGTTTCAGAAAATGTTTTTCTGAAACCTACATCACACCAGATCGCATCTCACGATTTCTGAATAATTATTGAATAAAATTTTAAAAAGATTGAGCAAATTCTTTTTCAATTGGGGATAACTTTCATTAAGAAAGTTAAAAATGTGTAATATGAAACATTGGTACAGACCCACATCAAACCATCCTTTTTTCATTATTTCTCTTCTATATCGTGTAGAATTGGTTTTGCAATTTAATTATTAATACGATGGATTTTAGGCATTGAGGAATTTTCAATCCAACTAGGAATTGCAAATTGTTCTACTGTATCGGCCTTGAAATCTTATATATTTATATTTTTTGATCATTAGAACAGTGCATATTTATTGTCTGTATTCTCAACTGTAAACGAAAAGCATTTTTATATTTTACACCAAAAATTATGTCATAGTTTTACTTCTAAGTTGTCATCAGTAAACATGAGTTAACTTCGCTACAAATATATAACGTTGTTTTTCTTTTGTTAATTGACTTTTCTTTTCTGATTGTGCAGTGCAGTGGCAGTGTGGTCGGGATGACGAGGGTGAGCAGTGAGTCGCAGTGTCCGATGCTGTCGACCGGCCGGACGCGGAGGCGGCATGGCGTACAGAGCAGTGCGCCCAGCAGAAAGCTGCGGTTTCAGCTGGCCAAGGAGCGAAAAGCATCGACGACCCTCGGCATAATCATGTCGGCTTTCACCATCTGCTGGTTGCCGTTTTTCGTTCTGGCAATAGTCAGGCCGTTCCTCCAGGACCAGGACGCCATCCCGAGCACCCTTTCGTCCTTATTCCTCTGGCTGGGATACGCCAACTCTCTCCTCAACCCTGTCATCTACGCCACCCTCAACCGGGATTTCCGACGGCCCTTCCAGCAAATCCTCTATTTTAGGTAATTAAAATTGACCATTTTTTCTATTTTTAAATAAATTAATGACATTCGTTGCATAAAAAAACTTACGTTAAAAAGTCATATTTATCAAAGACATGAACATCAAGTCTTATTCATAAAATTAATTAATCTTTATGTAACGTATTCGTTGAGATAAAAAAGTCAGTGTCACGAGAGGGATTCGAGCCCACGATCCTCCGCTAGATACGCCGCTGCTCTACCACTTGAGCTATCTTGACTTCGATCCACTCGAACACCAACTTTTTACTTATTAAATCCATTATATTTCGTGGTCCGCTTGACCAAATAACTTCTTTCAATTAAATTCACTAGTTTCGTGGTCCGCTTGACCAATTAATATCTTACAATTAATTAAGGTTTTCAGTTGAGATAAAAAGTCAATGGCACGAGCGGGATTCGAACCCACGATCTTCGGCTTGATACGCCGCTGCTCTACCACTTGAGCTATCGTGACCTCAATCCACTTTCTTTCACTTCATAATCATTCTTTCAATTAATAAATCTTTATATAAGGTATTAGTAGAAATGAAAAAGTTAGTGTCACGAGCGGGATTTGAAGGTTGAGATAGGAAGTTGGTGTCCGAGTGGATGGAAGTTACGATAGCTCAAGTGGTAGAGGAGCGGCGTATTTAGCCGAAGGTCGTGAGTTCGAATCCCGCTCATGGCACTAACTTTTTCATTTCAACCAATACCTTACATAAAGATCAATTAATTGAAAGACGTGATTTGGTCAATCGGACTACGAAATATAATGGACTTATTCATAAAATGGAACGTCTACACAGGCCGTACTTAGCTTTAAGTAAAATATTAGTTTCTAATCAATGAAGTCAAATAATTTTAAGTTAACAAGAAAAATGACAAATCTTTATCGTTCGAGTATATAGTTTAGCCTTAAATTATAAAACTGGACTTAGAAAAGGATAAACAAGGATAAAATATTCTTTGCAATGATAAACAGAATTTTAATTGAACAAATATTTTGACTTTAGAATCATCGCAGGCTAGACTTTTATAAGTTCGTTTTATGCATTTTTATAAGTTTTATTTCAAAAAGATAAAGTTCTTCTTGTTTCTTATATAAATAGTTTCGCAATCAAGTAAATTTCGCTCAATTAATTTTGCACGTGAAATGACAAGATAAATATTTACTGTACTTATTTATTACGCCAAGATACTTGCAAAACATGTATATGTTGAGACAGAATAATAACAGAGTTTTTCGTCAGGTGCGGCTCGTTGAATCATATGATGAGGGAGGAGTTCTACCAGTCGCAGTACGGTGACCCGGTGCCCCCACCGGCAATCGAGGATGAACCCACCTGCGACTTGATGCAAGTCTCTGAGCTTAAGCAGGCCGGACACGAGTCATTCCTGTGATACCAGCACGAGCCACTAAGGGAAGAAACTGTCAACTAGTGAGAACTCGGTTCAATCGAAAACTTTTCTACAAAATCCAGTCCGATTCTTATCCCTCAGTGTGCTGTAAAAAATATTCAACAACTTCCCAGGCCTATTGCCAGTACGATACACGTTATCCTATCTGTCCCCGACCCTCATATAGAGAATTTCGAACGTCTTATTTCACTTTTGAATGAAAAGAGTCGGGATGGGATTGAATTAAGGCCGATTTTTTAAATCTAAATTGACGTGGCGGTTTGCACGTTTTAAATCCGAATTCTCTGCGACAACGCCACGAAGGAGCAAGATGGCTGGAATCCAGTGAGGGACGAGAAGCTGTAGAAAAAATATTTTAAAAAATAAGTCGCAATTGAGATTTAACTTCTACTCACATTCATGCCAAAGTTGGCTTCTGTAAAAGAAGTTCCTTTTTGTAAAATAAAACAAAATTTGATATAATTGGCGAACTAACTGCTAGGGTAAATACAATCGCAATTCGCAATCAGATTAGTATGCGTTTGAATAGAAGAATAGAGTATAGAATTCACGCAACATACACATTAATTGAGCAAATAAATTTCCCGGTTAATATGACCGACAACAATGCCAATTTGTAGCGAGACCTGACGGGAAAAAAACCACGGCGCGCGTGACTGACCCTCGAGGATTAACAGTTAAACCCCTGGCTAATCTTTCGATTCACCTCGACGGCTTTATAGCTCAAATTAAAATCAATTTCCTACTCAGAAATTCGAGCTTAAAAAGCTTGTTAATTCAATTTGTCAGCTCACGATGGAATTCGCTAATCCACACGACAAAAAAAATCTAGCACTATCCGCTTAAAGCACTCTTCTTTTCAAAAAGAGCTTACGAAACAACTCTTAAACCTGTTAAAGACTGATAAAAGTTGGTCTTTCTACTAAAACTATATATTCTAGAAAATATCTATTTTTTAGACGTCCCGGCATATAACAGAATTGCACTTGGTCCATTTCTAACCATTATTTAAATCCAAAATTAAAAGACATCAGCTCTGCTAGATCTATCGTACACAATAGAAATATATATTTTATCACAAATTAAACGAAGTACAAGAAAACCTTTGCCATCGTAGTTTCTTAATAATGTGTTTGTTTTGTTTTTTTAATAAATTGTATTTCAAATTTTTGAAATCTCTCATGGATAAACATGCTGAAAAAAACCTCTTTGTTCACTAATAGATAATGGCGTTTTGTGTCAATATTAAAGAAAAATTTTTGATTATGGTCACTTTAAATAATAGCCCGCCACGTCTCAACAAAAAAATTTTTATGTGTTTTACGTTTTTATTGATTAGCAACAATAATTTGGTGTAGCCCAACATCATAACTTTTACCATTATTTTATAATCAAAAAATTTCTAGGATTTTAATACAAAATCTTAAGGTAAAAAAGCTGAAAACAGTCTTTCTTTCTAGCCCGTTAGAACATGATTCATAGCCAAGCATATGATTTCTTTGAATAAGCAAAAAAAATTACTATTCTGTTAAGTATTAACTATTTCGTAGGAAATATTTTTAAGTGTAAAATTCTACAACCAAATATATTGTCTTTTGAATATGACGGATATCACGTCTTCCTGGCCTTAGCTGGACGTAAGAACGCACCACCATAGGCCCGGTTAAATAACTAGCGGATAGAACGATATTGATTTCCAGGATGTTCGGGATGCCCGGTCTGCTTCTACTTTTCTCCAACTTTGAACTTTCACAATCTTATGAAAGCTGCAGTGGAAAAATGTCCCTGGGGCAACGGCTCTAATAAATAATCCAGCAGATATTGACCCCTCCCGCATAACGCTCAGCCAGCGCACCTGTAAAAGCAGGTAAACAAAAACACCGGCTTTTCCAAATAAATAAATTTTCAAGGGGGGGGAGGTAAAAATATATTACGCGTAACGCTGTTCTCATCCAGCAATATGTACGCATTTCTGAAAGAACGATTTTTTAATAAGATTTTGAATCACGGCATAAATTATGTATTTTCATATTTAACAAGTAATGCCCTACTTTTCTCCATTACATATTTCCTGGTCCATTCAATTCTATTTGGAACGTGTAACTAAATACTCGCCTTTGCATTTGGGAGATATTGAATGACTTTCAAACAAACAATATTGTATTATATCAACCAGTTTGGTAAATTAATTTAATAATTCAAAATCTTCATCTTTCTCGTCATTGTTTTAACTTTTTGTTTTTCAAGGCATTATCACTCAAAAATCGGGAAAACGGATCTCGCAGGCTGGTCAAACCTTTAACTTCGATATCATTTAAATGATATAGTTTTAAGCGATTGATGATTCGAAATGAATCATAATTGCATACAATTATCTTTCCAATTCACTCGACTAAATTTTACCTGTTGATTTCCCGAAATCTGTATCATGTCCTATACACAATGTAGGGTATGTTTTATTGCGACGTTCCATTTCGTCATTACTAATTTCTTCCCATTTAAATTAATTGATTTTTGTCATATTCACCTGTTTTAGCCATGGACATTTAATAACAACAAAATAACGAAATTTAATCAATTTACGTATTTACGTTTTTTTCCCATGGCAGACATTGACAGCAGATACAAAGCTATTTTCTTAATATTGCATAAAATATACGTAGTATAAATTTTACAAAGCACCGTGGTTGAGTGTGTGTTTTATCATTCATTTAATGAAAAAATGCTTCCTTAACATGGAAATGATGAATAATCATCAAATCGTTCATAAGATGTTCCTGGTCGGTAAAAGTGGTAATTCGCAATAATTTAGTAGTTTTTTTTACGAAAAAATGAGTTAAACATTTTACTCATCCTTATAATCAGCTTGTGATTTACGATTTATATCGTAGTAAGAAAGTACCTATCAATTTTGTTTTGGAATGAAAGTGAGCGTTAAGGATGAAATTGGTAGCGGCTGGTTTCGCTTGTCCGTCGATGACAGTGCCCTCGAGAGTTCAGAACGTTCAAAAGTGAAACGCGATCAATTGATCAGCGCTTAATTAGTACAATTATTTCCCTGATGCCGTTCCACCGATCCCAGCAAAGGCCTAGAGAAGAATTTTTGAAAAATTATTGTATTTTAATACCGCCTTCCGTCTTTATGGCGGATTAGTTACCATGTCAACCGAAAAAAAGACTGAAAACAGGTAACCACAGGAGCACCCGATTGAAAATAAATCAAGGACCAAAACGCGGCATTAAACGAAGGCCTGGGGATATATTTTATATCTGGCCTATATTTTTAACTGTTATTCAAAATTTTGATTTTTTTACCTTGAATTTTCATATAATTATAAGTAATCTATTGTAAACCGAAAAATAATTTTAAAAAAGTCGGGCATGAATGTTAAAGTTGTTCTAGTCATGAACAGTATTTAGAAAAAAGAGAGCGCGAGATTCTATCATGTTTACATCAATAGTTTCTAATGTTAATTTAAAAAATAAAAACCTTTTTAAATATATACGTATATATACTTATAGTTTTCCTTTTAAATGTAGTTACCAAAACGAAGCTCTATGTATTTTTTTTTGTTAACAGCCTCATAGTGTAAATTATAAAGGAATATATTTATTTTATGTAAAAAAAATTGGACATGTGCATATATTTTCTTGTATAAACGGGTAAGTGTTTTAGAAGCAATAGCTAAGCACGAAAACAAAAAACAAAAAATTTGAAAAAATGTTTCGTACAATAAAAAATGAATTTATCTATATCATAAGTGTAGATTGTAAATATTCTTTTTGTACATAGTCCTGTCTTTTTATTTAATTGTGTGCTTTTTTTAAGCTCTGCGAGGTTTTCGGTCGGAGACTTCGCGCCACTTGTGATAAAAAAAATTCAATTCTTAGAATACTATTGATATTAAAACTAATATATATATAAACACTGAACAATGATCGAATCGTTTCAAATCTTCAAAAAAGTTTCACCCCAGCCTTTATCAATTATAAAAAGAAAATTAGGAACAAAGTTCCTGGGTACTCCAATTGTTCAATTATTCTTTCCACTTTTCGAGGCATAAATTGTTTTAAAAAGTGTATTTAATAAAGTAAATTGTAGAGCGATATTTTTCGAACAAAGAGCATGTAATTTTATTCACGCATACTGAATTGCGTTTTAACTGTTTCAAAGAAAATACTTCTGTAGTTTTTATTTTTTTTGTTAGATTGAGAAAAACGTTAACAGTTAAAAGCTATGGAAAAAAAGCGTTCACAACAACTCAATTGTATGATTAAACCGATTGTTTCTTTCTGTAAATGTAATTTGAATATTTGTTTTTGTTTTGTAATAAAATAATAATTAATAAACATTTCATTTATATTTTCACCCTATTCCTTAATTGATATGCACTTCCAATGGAGCATGTTAGATCAGCTATTCTACCATATTTAGCTTTTTACTAAATTCATTTATTTATTTACAATTGCACTTTAAATATGCAACAAGCTAAAATATTGAAAAAATAAGTATACTCATTGAACACAAGGTACTTATGCACAGACACAAAAGGAACCACTGGAAATCACCTGGCAACTGTCCTGTGTCGGCGGAGGCAGGTAAGTTGTCGCGTGTCCAACGTCGCTTCAGTCTCCGACGAGGATTTGTGGGTAATGTTCTGGATGTTAATTCGCCCATAAGGTGATCGGAAAATTTAGAATGAAAATTTTGGTAACGGAATTTGACAAGGTCAAATATGAATTTGAATGCTTAGAGATATAGAAGGCAGCATTAACTATTGTTCGTTTAGAATCTCGGCTAGTAGATCCCGCGGTCGTGGGTTCGATCCCCACCGTCGCCTCTGGGCTTTTTTTCTGACGCCTCAGGGGACCGGTGGCCGCAATTGAAAGAAATTGACACAGCACTCATCAATGGAAGGGGCGGGATCAGATCTCGGCCCTGAATTTGGTCCCAACCCCCTTCGAAAATGAGTTACAATGATGATGGCACACCGGGGGCTCAAATTCACAGTGTTTCGAGCCCCCAAACATGGAGCCAGGGTTAAAGTACAATAAGCTGTACAGCTGCAGTGCTCAGGAGAACTCCTCCAGTTCCTGGTATCCATTGTAAATATATATATTTTTCGAAGAATTTTAGGTTGTAGGGTTTGTAGTATGATAAGATTGGAACGCTTACCGTACAGTTATGTTTCATAAGGGGACTAGCAAAACAGCGTCTCTTTTTTTGGCTGGTTTTTATTTTTTATTTGGTTTTGGTTTTTGGTTTTTATTTGTTAATGTAAAGGAAGTAGAGTTTTTTTATGCAGGTTAAAAACAATCTAGGTTTGGTTTCTTCTACCTTGATTCTCCATTTGCGGAGCCAGGTCAGGATTTATGTGTTTTTGTAAATTACTTATGCTGTAACGGGATCTTTATCGAAAATAAGTATTGATGTGTCCTGGATTCTAAACACACTCAAACTAGAAAATTGTTGTTCATCTATTCATATCATAAAATTTACTGCAAAGAAATAATACATTCATAGTAAGTCAAGAAGTAGATTTGAAGCACTAATTTAAGAATTTGAAAGTTTTATTAAAAATTATTTCTCTATTTTCATTTTGATTGGTTTTTAAATATCTAAAATTAGAAATATTTTTTCTTGCCTATATTTAAAAAAACTAGCATTTTTACTCATCGAAAATGTCATCACCGTTTAAACAATATTGAAAGTTTAGGAATTAAAAGTATGAAAAATAACTTTTAAGATATTAAATCCATTATATTTAGTGGTCTATTGACGAAATTACTTCTTTCTATTAATTAATCTTTTTATGTACGGTTTTCGGTTGAAATGATAAAGTTAGTCTCACGAGCGAGATTCGAACCCACGTCCTTCGGCTAAATACGCCGCTGCTCACTTGTCCTATCGTGACTGGAGCCACGAGCGGGATTTTAAGATATTGTAGTATAATTATTAATTTATCATTAATCGTTTTAGTGCAAAATTTTAAACTATTTTTTTTATGGAAATATATCTAAATGTAGGTAGATTATAACTTTTATTTTGTTATTGTATGTGTGATCAATTGGGGAACCTTTGAATAAATAAATAACGAGGTGTGGTCTGTAGCTAGGGATGCATCTGCAGCCTGTTCCGAAGTGCAGTTTAATTTAATAATTCAATTGCTGGGTCTTGTGATAGTTTGAAGAGCGACTGCTTCAAAACAACATTAACAAGAGATGGTGGCCGACTTGATCTAACTTTACGTTTAATGTTCATGACTCCATCTCGGAATTCGACAAAGCAGCTTCATGCAAACGTCGGTTGATTTCCACATACCTCACATTTGGCATCTTTTTCTTTTTTTATGTAAATAACTATTGGCCGTATTCAGTTTGGCAAATAATGAAAAAAATATATACAGTAGCATTAACGCTAATTGACATGAAACATGCGAAGAGTTTTCAACCCAGTGGCAGTCTCCGAAACTTTGATTTTTTTAAACTAAATTTGTTTTCGCAGTAAGGTCAGCATGATGTCTCCTTTTCTGTCTTTTCGGACTGTCGTGTCGGCGGGAGCGACTGGACAAAATCAGTGAAGATAATATTCGGGGGCAGAATTATGCGTTGATACAATTTTGCTGCTCTTTGACCACTTCGACGACATATGGTATTATGTATAGTCCACGGTGAACTGCAGAGTTCCGAATATACCAACGCGCATTCCTGATAATCCGCATAATTCGATTTTTCTGGACTTGGAGTAGTCTGTTTAATTGTGAATCACTTCCAGACCCAGGAAAAGTGATGCGTACTTCCAAATGGACGGAGAAGTGATGGGTATACAGCCTTTTGTTTAAGTTAAGAACTCTTGTCAAGAAACCCATTAGAAGACAGGATCGCCTCATAAGTCATTTCATCAGATCTCTTACATGTTTCGAAAATAGCAATCTTTTATCTCTAAATATTTGGCGGATCGAACTTCATGTACCCGAGTTCCTTCTATTATGAACGATGTCGTTTCTAACCTTCTGCGATACATGAATGTAACTAGGGTTGACTTTTTAGGATTCAATTTCTATATTGCAAAAGTTTTGTAACGTGATTTTTCATAGGGACATAGCACAGCTAAAAAAGAGGCCCCTACAAAAGCAAGCGAGGCTGTCTTATTGATACAATAAGTTCTATTGATCAGATTTGATTTGATAAGTCGGTATAGTAAAAGTCAAGTAGCTCTTCTTTAATTTTAACAAGTCCAGAATACCAGATCCTATCAAAGGCGTGGTCATATTTTTGTATATATGTTTTTTAAAATTGTATCAACGACTAATTATTTATATAATTGTGGTAACAGTGACTACAGAACCATTAACATTTTGAAACTTTTTTTATATACATAAAAAAAACTCTAAGCCTACGAGTCTTCTGTGAATCTGTGAATAAGTTTAAAACAAAAGTAGCAATAATGCTTACATGCGTGGTACAAATTTAATAGCCCTATTAAAGATATGTTTACTAGAAGAAGTTCACTAGACGTGACTGTAATTATTTCTCAATGGATCTTACAATAGGTGATAGTTTTCAATTAATTAAGGTTTTGTTTGAGATAAAAAAGTCAGTGTCACAAGCGGGATTCGAACCCACGACCTTCGGCTAAATATGCCGCTGCTCTACCAGTTGAGCTATCGTTACTTCGACCCACTCGGACACTAACTTCCCATCTCAACCCCACTTTTTTAATTTTCCCTCCTTTTTGCCATTTTTCACGGTGATAGTGCTCAATTTTAAAAATATTCTGACTGTTGTATATAGTTCTGTACAGGGATTCAAAGACGGAGACCATTCTATATTTAGTTAATGCTTGGTCATAAATAGCATGAGCATTAATTTGTGCTTAACATGCCACCCAATGACCAATTTAATTTATACTATCGTTTATGGTTATTTATTGCATTATAAACACATTCATCACCGGTAGTAAAAGTGCACCGAAATGTCAGACCTTAGAATACCGAAGAAAGGTCGAAACGTTATTTTTGGCCGGTGCACACGTTATCGTTTTCGAGGTCTCCTGTAAATTGACCCCAGGTTACATAAACGTTGATGAAAACTAAAGGTCCAACAGCTCAACTTGGATCTTCATCGTTTAACTTGATGAAATTCTTCATGAGACCAAACACTCTACGCTCAGAACCGTAAAAAATTTAACGGCTTAATACCAAGGTCGAAATTGGCGAAGTTGTGCGGCGGCTTTTTATATCTTTCGTTTTCTATCAAGATTAGTTTAACGATATAAAAAACCTTATATTTTTTATGTGATCCTTCTATATCCATTAATAATATAATGAAGCTATGTTCTTTTATAACGTATCAACATTCATCTTATAATCTGACAATAATGTGAATTATATATCAACAATGAAACGTAAAAATACAACCTCATGAAACACACGTACATAGTTAACAAAGTGCTCTCAAAGCGCTTTGATTGTCGAAGAGTCCTGTTTTATCTGTGTATTCACAAAGGTAGAAATGTATAAAGGTATACTAATGAGAATAATGCCTGGCAATAGAAACGTAAAATAATGTCAGCACTATACTATTTGTATTTAAAAATCTTGCAATAAAATTTAGTTTGATTAAAGCGCAAAAATATGCATTTAGAAGTGCCATTTTCTAACAAATTATAGTAAATAATTTTCCATTAATTAAGGTTTTTAGTAGAGATAAGAAAGTCAGTGTCACGAGCGGGATTCGAACCCACGAACTTCGGTCAGATACGCCGCTACACTACCACTTGAGCTATCGTGACCGATCCACTCGGACACGATATCAACCTCACCTTTCGAATCTTCCCTTCTTTTGTGCCATTTTTTCGATGGTGATTCGAAAGGTGGGTTGACATGGGAAGTTGTGTCCGAGTGGATCGAAGTCACGATAGCTCAAGTCTTAGAGTAGGAGCGTATCTAGCCGAAGGTCTTAGGTTCAAATCCCGCTCGTGACACTGACTTTTTTATCTCAACTAAAAACCTTAATTAATTGAAAGATATTAATTGATCAAGCGGACCACTAAAACTAGTGAATATAGTAAATAATACTGAAAATATTTTTTATATATTTAAGCTTTGTAATCATCAATAATGTATATTATAATAACTACTATTAATCAATAATAATCAAATAACTGGACAATGTTTGTGACACTTACTGTGATAGCATTCATATCTACATAAAAAGATGGAGCAACTGAGAAGCAAAAAGAGGCTATCTGTGCTTGTTTTTTATTCGAGATTCTACAATAAGAGTTTTTCTCCCAAAAAGATTCAACAAGACATTCACCGATGAAGTTGTACATTTGTATAGCGACATTCAGCAAAAAAATCACTAGGTAAAAATGATATTATTTATGTAAGAAGTCTCTTATCCACATTATTTTAAGTAGCTTACCTGGTTATTGCGGGAATCGTATTTGTGTGTTAGTGTGATTTTGTAATTTACTGTGAAAGTATTTGTAATATGTTTTGATAGATGAAAAGAGTGAAGATCGTTCTGAAGTGTGTTATTGTTTATGTAAAAAGGGGCAAAACAATTAGTCATAAAATTGTGGATTGAAAACCTTTTATTCTTTGAATATTGAAATATTTGGCCGATCCATAAACTTGGCACCCATACATCCAAATAGATTTGAGTAGGATGTGTATGTCGAAAGTTTTCACTTTAATAGTAATTTTGATTGTCGGTTGGGAAGGTAATAAAGCATTTTTAATCATTTGCTGAGAGTTTATGGATTCCAAGTTAGTCTTTTATTAAATGTAAGTCCTAAATAGTTACTTTGTAGGATTGATGAACACGTTCATTGTATAAGTACATATGCTAGGAAAAGTCTCACGACTTGAGGGGTTAACTTTATTTTCCAAAGATTGCTCCATTTTTCAATTGTTGATATTTGATTTTATAACATAATTGATGCTTGTGTAGATGACGGACGACTTGTTAAATCTACAGATTTGGCGGTAAGTGCATTTTCATCTCTGGGCGTATCAGAAGTAAAAATTGTGTACATCGAAGCGAGTATTGATCCTTGTGGCACACCTGCAAGCACTTCTTCCATCCCAAAAGTCTCCATACACTGGTTCACTGTAAAAAATCTCTCGTTAAAGTTTGATTTTATAATCAGACCTGGGGTAAAAATAATTTTAATTTAAAATAATCCCTCATACCACACTTTGTCGAAGGCCTGGGAAAAATCTAAAAACATTCCAGTCGCGTACAGTTTCTGCTCGAGACATGAAGTAATGAAATCTGTAACTCTGTGGTTGATGAGTGGTGGATTGATGGGTTCGAAAGCCAAATTGATGGTCTGGTAAAATGTTGTTTAAAATAGCAATAGAGATAATTCTTTTGTAAATTAATTTTTCGAATATTTTAGAAGGAACGGGTAACAAACTAATAGGACGATAAGATGATGGGGAGCTTAAATTTTTATGGGGCTTTGGGTTCATTTTAATGTAAGAAAGTTTCCATCGTAGGATAAAACTAAAAAAATTTTATTGTAGAAACGCCGTAAATTAACATAATAAAAATTGCATTATGTATTTTTTCCATTTGAAAGGTTAAAAATAACAATCGAGGTATGGGGGCTAGAACATCCAATAGAAACATTAATTTATAAAAATAAACATATTATAAATCGTATGTACCTTCTTTCCAGTTCAGCTTGTATCCTAGGAGGAAGACAGGAATTTCAACAATGTAAGAGCAAACTTTTTTATTTATTTTTTAATTTTACCTAGTATTTTATTTAAATAAGTAATAAAAATTAATGATGTAAAATAATGATGATCAAACCATCGGGATGGAGAAGCTTTACAGAAAAACAAAAGAAAAGAGATTGACAATAGTCAAAAATATATTTACAAAATCCAATATTGCACACACAAGTGGGAGATTTTATCTGAGTTTTATTTACCTCTAATACTTTAAGGAGCAAATATTGTTCACATTCAATGTTGTTGGATCACATTCAATGAAGAATTGTCTAAACTCTAAAGGATAGTTAAAACTATTAAGAGTGGCCACTTTTTTGACCTCTCAGTGAGTTACTGATGGTAATTAATTCTAGTTTTTATATATGAGAAAAGCAAATTTGACAGACGATTTCGGTGGTTAGAGTAACATCAATCATTTTTTTAAACAAGTCTTTAATCTTTATAAAAATAAAATTATGAGAGCACTTTTAAACTGTAATTTTTCTTCGAGTTGAAAGTTCGGAAAGAAACGCAATAAATCCGCTCAAGTTTTTAATTGCAGTTAACAGCGTTGTTTTCGAAACACATTTCAGCGGAAAATATATCTATTTGTGCGGAATGGCAATGGACTAATCACGACGATTTGACTGTCCAATTTGCTAATGGCTGGAAACTGTGCTGAGGGTGTTTAAACATTTACATGTAGCCTATTGTCACCTGTTCGCACAGGGTGGAAAACCTGTGATGAGGCCGATCAGGATTAAACAATCCTGATGAGGCCTAGAGATGACGATTAACACAAGTGATGATAACCACTGATTTTCATTGCGGCTGTAATCGCCTCTACAAAAGCGTAATATACAAAATATATCAATTCTGTTAATCGTCTTATTCATGAACAAAAAGGTTATTACTTACTTTCACTAGTTTTCGTGGACAAATTAATATCTTTCAATTAAGGAACGTTTTTAGTTGAGATAAAAAAGTCAGTGTCACGAGCGGGATTCGAACCCATGATCTTCGGCTAGATACGCCGCTGCTCTACCACTTGAGGTGTCGTGAACTCGATCCACTCGGTCACTAACTTTCCATCTCAACCCCACCTTTCGAATTTTCCCTCCTTTTTGCCATTTTTCAAATGTAGCGTAATCTATTCGATTCTCGGCGACAAATGAAGATATACTTCATTTTGCTTATTAAATCCATTAGATTTCGTAGTCCAATTGACCAAATAACCTCTTTCAAAACCAAATTTCAAAAGGTGGGTTGAGGTGGGAAGTTGGTGTCCGAGTGGAGAAATAATATGAGCCATAAGGAAACTTTACACGCACACAAAGATTCTTAAATTGTGCAGTATATGGCACATTCTCCTGACATCAGCAGTGTTTCAAGGTTATACAGCCGTTACGTCAGCTTGACAATGCCTTGAGCATAATTTCTCGTTGGTTTTATGTTGTTGATAGTTTTTCTTCTGTTCCAGTACTGGATACTGATATATTTATAATTGGGTAAATTCCGTCATTATCTAAAGGTCCTGGTCAAGCTCGACATACAAGTTTGAAATAATGTGAGAAACACCCCATTGAATTACCTTAGACGTTTTTCCACCAAGAAGAGAGTTAGCAATAAAGTTTATCCTTCAAATTGCTTCTTAGTTTTAATCCCCTATTTTTTATAATATATAACTATTTTCTAGATTTTTGTAAAATTAGTCGGTTATATTTTATAAAATATCTCAAGTTTACTAAATCTACACCATACATGTACATTGAAAACCAATGTAGTAATATAATGGTTAATTTTTTAAATATTTTAAATTTTATTACAAAAGAACCTTTTAGACCTCTAAGCCTTACTTTATCCATTTTATAAATGATGCAAATATCGACTAATGAAACTTACATGTGTGAAGTATCAGAGAAATGGTCCGAGAAAAGCATGTTTTTATGCCCTGGCGGCTTTTGACCTTTACTATGTCTTCCTCAGGGGAATTGGGTGGTCCATTTTTAAGCATATAAGTAAATGTAAAAACAAATTATTGTACCGGAAGTTTTTCGATCATACTGCGAATAAAATATTAATGTATTTTCACCAATTCTTTTTACACTGACTTTCTAAAACTCTGCCACTATCATTTGTTTTAAATTGGCCATGAGCTACTCTGAGGAAGGCCTAATAAAGTTCAAAAGGTAGGCGTGGCTCAAAAACTTATTTTTCTTGGACCATTACCCTCATCCTTTCCACCTGTAATTTATCAATTTTAATGTCTTTGCAGCGTTAATAGCATTGTCTTTAAAAATAAAATTTAATTGCGATCACCGAATAATGTGTCATTGAAAAACGGCTAATTATTTTGAATCAATAATTCATGTAAAAAGCAAAACTGAAATTAATGTGTTAGGATACAACTAAATATTCGAAAAAATCTAATAATAAATACAGGCACTTTTTACGATATCAATAACATCTAAACAGCTCAAAAATGAAATGAGGGATATTGCCAATTTTTATATTTACAATTTATTAAAAAATATTATTTTTTAACTCGTCAATTTAATTAAGGGATTTTGAAAAATAATAATACAAACGGTTTTAAATCCATAATTTTATTTAATATAATTTTATTATTGGACACAATATTTTTTTAACAAGTAATACTTTGTATAATATGTGGTGTTTAGTGACTAGTTAGTCAATGATTATTTGGAGATCATGAGATGCGGTCTGGTGTGACGTAGGTTTTAGAAAAGCATTTTCTTTATCGTGCCAACGTTTCGATCTTTATTGAGATCATCTTCAGAGCTCAAAGTGTATTTTTTCCGTGTAGATGTCTCATTCTTATCTGTCGTGTTGAGAGTGCCACGTCACAACAGACCGCATCTCACGATCTCCGTACAATCATTGACTAAAGGTCACTAAACACCACATATTTCAATTAAGATTTTTATGTTATAACCGTTCGATAACGGGATGGGGGTTATTAAGAGGTTATACGTTTCAAAAATGGCATTTTGTAAAAAAAAGGTTTTTTTTAACGAGGGTTCGCAACAGAAGAGGTTATATCAAACCCTCGGGGTGGCGGTGTTTTTGAAAAAAAAACATTTGTAAGTATTTCGAATTCAGGGCGGGTGGATTCGAACCCTGGACCTTTACCTTACAGTGATGAGCGCTGCGTCAACGCCTAAACCGTTGCTGCCACCGACGCCCCTCAGATGAAAGAGGTTGTGAAGTTCAATAAATACTTCCATCACATGATGAAATAAAGACGTTACACGTTGGCCAACAGTAAACATGTTACATACGTCCTTTAAAAAATCAATAAGCAATTACATTGTAACTATAATGAATTGAAAGACAAAAACTATTCAATTAAATTCTTCAAGAAAAAGAATGTGTTATTTGTTTGTCCTCAATGACTCGGTTTTTGAAAGGAGTAATTGATGACTGGCCGGGTGAGCCTAGGCTAGAACAAACAGAAAACCCCCCAGCTATTAATTGTCTGGGTTAAGCCTTAGCCGGAGACCTTTTACTGCTCTGACTCTTCCAATATTGTCACTGAGAATTGGGTAATCATCAGAGACAAGGAAAGCCACTAATAACATATTTATGAGATTGTATTACGCTGCGATACATTAAAAATTTACATTATTCTACACGTATAACCAATCATAAGTCACTGACTAATAATTGTAAACAATCGTTTTTTACCCCCCGACAAACAGCAAGGTTCCTCTTCATTCTTTACCATCAAAGTTCATAGAACTGAAACAGTTTCCTTACTATTATCTCGTAAATTTTTGCTTTAAAATATCACTCATAAAACAAATGAGGATGCTACCTGACGGGGAACCATGATACTCTATATTCCGATGGTAACCGATCATCATTGACACGAAAACCATGCATACCCATGTATCCATTTTCGTAGATAAATACAGTTATTTTCACACAAATATATATGTNCCTGGTTTTCGTGTCAATGATGATCGGTTACCATCGGAATATAGAGTATCATGGTCCCCCGTCAGGTAGCATCTTTGTTTGTTGTATAACTTTTTCATTTCAACCAAAACCTTACCTAAAACGGTTAAATAATGACTAATGATCATTTTTTCGATACACGTAAACAATCACATAAGTGGTTACATTTTGTATGAAAAAATTATAATTGTGAGATGTGATGTTAAAAACATTATATACCAATTTCTTAGTACAATGTGATGCTAAAACTAAAGTTTTTATTTAATGAAATTTATTAGGAAGCAATTAAAATTATGTCTCGTCTATATTTATGCTCACTAATTTTACAAAAGCAATTGCACCTTATAACGAACACCTGTATCCGGCTTTAATTCCTTGGGCTTTGAACGGCGATTGATGGGTGAATTA